TGCAAATTACAGCTACTGAGGCAGTCCTTCAACCTGCTATTTTTGGATATTCCCCTCCCCCAGCTGAACTGAGAATGGTTTTCTTATATTTAAATTGTTGAAAAAAATCAAAGAAAGAATATTTCATGACATATGAAAAGCTTGTGAAATTGATATTTTAATGTCAATTAATAAAGTTTTATTAAAATATGCTCATCTTACTTTGTATGGCTGCTTTCTCACAACAAAGGCAGAATTGGGTAGTTTTCAGAGACTGCATGGCACTCAAAGACTACAGAACATACTACATTTTCCTATATAGAAAATGTTTGCTGGTCCTAAGATTTATATATTATTTTAAAAAATGCAAGCTTTCAAATTCGGTGATAAAAAGTCACAAATATTTGTGTGGGATTACTAATACCTTATACATCACTCTCAGATGAATCTTCCTAAAATACAGCTCAAATTATACCCCTGTCCTACCAAAAATCTTCTTTAGCACTCCCTAGGGGATGGAGGGTATAGATTATTGGTAGAGGACTTGCCCAGCAAGTTCGAGGCTCTGGGTTCCATGCATAGCATCACAAAAAAGTAAAAGAAAAAGAAAGAAAGAAAAGAAAGAAAAGCATCCTTTGCCTATAAAGTCTGAAATTCTTGACAGATCTTGTATGGTCTTATCTTACTCTTCCATTCCAACTTCATTTCCCAAGCCTCTCTTTTTGCATCTTATATACCAGATGACCTGAATTATTTGTCATCCCTTCACACTTTGTGTCATTCCTACTATATGAAATTCTTTGTTCTGAATACAGTGTCGTACTGCAAAATAAGCAGGTTCTTTAGAGACAAATTTAGGTTGTATTTCAGATTCTTACCCTTATTAGTTCAGGAAGCTAACTTCTCTGAACTTCAGTTTTCTTATCTATAGAATGTGAATAATAATCCTTATCCCAAACTGCAAATGTAGCTCTGTGGTAGAGTGCTTCCCTAACATGTGTGAGGCCCTAGGTTCAATCCCAGCACCACAAAATAATAACAATATTATTACTTATCTCATAAAACTGTTACAAGATGAGCGCCTGGCATATGGGAACAGCTAAATAAGTGATAAGTGTTATTACTTCTGCTTAAATCCAATCCTACCCTCCTCCTTTGCTTTTCCTCTGTCCTCCCACTGGGAAATGAGCTCTCCCTGTGTCACATACCATTATGCCTACTTACCCCTCTCTTAGGTTCTAATCTGTATCTACTACCTTATATAACAGTAATTTCTCTCTATTACTTGCCCAGGAACTTATTGAGGGCAGAATTCATCTGTGACTCACTCTGTATGTCTCACAGACCTCTGAACAATGACTTGAACATAGTATGTGCACAAGTATTTATTGAATGAATGGTATGTGTTTGCTGAACTATATATAACGTGCATTAGCTGTCTCATATTGCTTAGGGATAAGTAAGGGGTCACAACACTTGTTCTGTATAATGCCTAGGTTCAGTGCTTGGCAAATATTCAAATAACATCAAGGACTAAAATCGCCATCATGAAAACAAGGGCAAACAGAAAAAATGGCAATACAGTCACCTTTCAGAATGATGGTCTTTTTCTTTCCCATTAGTTAAAGTTATAATCATCTTGTGCTCCAAAAATTAGAACTAGAGCACATTTAAAGGAGGAGGGGGAAATTAACCACTTCCTCAAGGAGTCAGGTGAATATCATAACATCAATTACCTCTGAGCACAGAGCTAAATAAATCTAAATATTTAAACAGGACCTACATTCAATGAATTAATCATCACACCCAGTTGTGACTACAGCCCTTATATAAAGCTCTATACAAAACAAGCATAAAGCATAGACATCAAATTCCATCTGCATTAACAACTGTTTTTTAAAAGTTGCTAATGATTTTTGCAACACAGTACATCACATCTCATTGGCTCCTAGAAACACTAGTTATTTGAATTGGTGGTCAAATTAATTAGTTAAATTAAAAGGTATCAATCATTCTCCTGCCTTTTAATGCCAGACTCCTGATGCTACCCAAGATGGATCCATGCACAGGAATACAAAACCCATGGCTGAGACATGCCAATGTAGAGGGTGACACTTCCAACAAGAGAACAGCAAAAAAATGGTCTCTGTTTTAAACTACTTCTGCTTATGCATTTCCCTCCTGAAATCTACTGAAAATTACACATTCACCAACAGATTTATCAGTGACCAGAAGATGTATTATCAACAATGTACATTGTTTTGCCATTTCCATTTACAAAGCACTTTTAGAATCCATTAATTCTGCTGAGCTTTGCAACAACTCTGTGAGATAGATATAATTACCACCATTTTTTTTGAGACAAGGTCTCACTATATTTCCCAGGCTGACCTTGAATTCTCATTTCCCTGCCTCAACCTCACAAGTAGCCGAGATTACAGGTGTGCACCACTGTGCCCAGTTTTCCACCACTTTTCATTTTAATTGCACAAATTTATGGAGTACAGTATCATAATATGATAAATGAGTAGCGTCTAATAACCCAATGATAATACTTGACATTTCCTCTCCTTAACATCAAAAAAATTAATTACTCCTATTTTACAAATGAAGCGATTTGTGCCAAATCCCAAGATGGGGAAGCCAAGACTGTAACCTAGGTCTTCAAACTCCAATTCTAGTATTCTTTCTCCATTTTTTCTCCACATGAAGCGAAAGAACACCTTTGTCTTGTATCGACCCTACTTAACTCTCAGAAATCCACCCAGCTGGCACAATGTGAGGAAACAGTAGGAGTATAAACATTACTGGGGTCTAGACGGTGGGAAACATCCGTCTTTGCCTCTCACTACTCAAGCAATTCTAATTCATTCAACTTAAAGAAATGGAGCTAGCTTTTAACTCCGACCCATTCTATTTTTGGCTTTCTATGTATACTCAAAAAAAAAAAAACCAAATATCAAAAAGCCCCTTAGCCTAGAATATCTTTTGATCTTTTGACCATGTGCAAAGGTTTGGGCCTGCATAATTGTTGACTCTTACTCTTTTAATCTTACCAAAGAAGGACAGAGCAGGATGGTGGCACATGCCTGAAATTCTAGCTACTTGGAAGGCTGAGGCAGAAGGATCTCAATTGTGAGTCCAGCCTGAGCAAATTAACAAGACCTTGTCTCAAAGTTGTTGTTGTTGTTGTTTAAAAGATATGGGGATGTATATTAGTAGTAGAGTGTCCCTGGATTCAATGCCCAGTACCACCAAAAAAAAAAATAATAAAATAAATTAATTAAAGAAGGAAAGAATTTAAATCACTCTTTTCCTCTAGCTTGAAAAACATTTCAATGTTTTATTAAACTGCATTTTTTTTTCCTTTCAAATCTTAATCTCTTTGATATGCCTTAGCTGGTCATTTTTTTAGCACAAACACTTTCAGCTTACCATCTATTTCACAAAGCTACCTGCTTCCTAGGGCTTTTAATGAGATTCAATCTGGATTCCTTACTAAGCAGTTTGTTATAGGAAGAAAACAAGCATCAAAGCACAAACATTCTGCATTTTCCTCCCAGAGAAACCTTGCCTTTCTATTTCTGTGGCACAATCTATTCTTAACCTCTCAAGGAACTCTATTAAGTGGAGACACACCCCAAAGCCTGATCTATATGTCTATCTGGAAGGATCAGCATTTCAAATACCCCATCTTTAAGGTGCTACTAGGCATTTACTCTTGATAACAATACAACAGATGATTGAACTCAACCAAAGGACCTGCAGGAACTTAAATGGTTTATAGATTCTGACCAAAAGTGGAGAGATGACAGATGTGCAGAGAAAGCACAAAATTCAAGGGGCCAATCCCAAAAAAAAAAAAAACTGCACAAGAAATACCAGCTGGTAGCAGTTACCATCACACTAAAGCTCCTAAGGCTCTCCCCCTCTCTTGCTTGGCTACAATCAGGTCTCCACATTGAACATAGACACACTATTTTGAGAATAAATCCACTTGAATAAAGTTATAAGCATAGAGGGACATATATGCCAGTGACTTTATTTTTTGCAATCATCTTTCAGCCAAGAAGAGAAAAAATTAATTATCACTCCACTCAATCATTACCCTCCATTCTTCTGGGTATATATTTTGGCACAAAGCATTGGCTTGCTGTACTCTCATTGGGGATGTTTATTATTCTTTCTTTTACTCCAAGCCTCCTGCCAACCAGCAGAAATAAAAACCTCCACACACAGAGGGGGAGGGAAATAGGGTCCCACAGCCAAGTCAGCTGTGACCACTAGAAAAGCCAAGTTAGGTGAGGTTCCTTTCAGTGTAGTGGCCCCCATCCCTAACACTGTGTTTTATTCCCTGGGGGTTAGACTGCTTGTGCCAGGGAGCAGGCAGGTCTTTGTTCCAAGCTCAAGCAGACTTCAGTGGCATGTGAAGCCAACCAATAATTCTGAACTTAGACTGACCTTGACCTAGGCCATAGCTCAGTATGTTAAAGAAAAAAAATCACTAGGGCAAAGGTGTTTTCTTTAGAAAATAACTTGCCATGGGAATTTTTTTACTGTACTACTTATCTGTAGTAACCAAAGGTCAGGACAAAATCATGACTCCAGCTGTTGGCCTTAATCCCCAAATCTTTAGGAGCCTGAGGGAGTTCCTTGGTCAGCCTGGATGTCACCTGGCACCTGACAAGGGTGGTGAATATGTCTCACAGTACCTTCTGATTATCCTTTCAAACAACCATCTGCCTAAGTAAGGCTAACTGCAGAGCAAGAGAGTCCTTGGCACAGCTACAGATCATGTCTTATAAGGTCAAGTCCACTAAAGAGAAAGGCTGAAAGTTTTGGTTGTATCCACCATTTTCCACCTCTACTGACCCCCATCCCAAAGGATAGGAAACCCATTTGCCTCAGGCGCTTGGAAGGAGTCACCCTAAAGCCGCCTTTCGTTCACCCTGCAATGAGTAAAGATTTAAAGGCAAGAGCCACCGGCTCAGGGAAACAGCTCGTGGAAGCCTTCCACTTACTTCTCATGGCGCTGATAAGCGCGTTGCCGTCTTTGATCACGTCTTTGATGAATTTATTGGTCCTCTCCAGCTCCTGCTCATAACACTTGAGCCTCTCACGGAAGTCGGGGCTGTCCAAGTAGCAATCGCTGAACTCCAGCGGAGGATGCCCCATGGTTCTGATGACCCCGGGATTGTGGGAGAGAGGAAAGACACAAAGACCAAGAGCATCAGTGGCACAGTGAGGGGAGCAGAAGGGACGGACTGAACGCTGGACAACCTTAAGGAGGCTCTTAGCCTTCCTCCCTTTGGAAATAAGTACCTGTTCCAATGAGATTCCTGGGAAGCAGTGGCTGGTGCGTATGAGGAACGCGCGGCCCGTCGGTGGCTTCAGGTGACTGGGAAGGCTTACTAATGCAGTCGGATCCTGATGGGGTGCTGCCTAGTAAGCAGCATACCCGCTTGGCATCGCCTCTCCTTATAGGCAGCAGAAACCGCAGCCTGACCGGCTTGCCTCCGAAGACGGGCCGGATCCTTCCTGAGCACTCGCAAACGTGACACTTCGGCCCGCCCAGGGTGTAGGCGGGGGTGAGCGCTGGGGTTGGGAGCCGCCTCTCCTAGCTCCTCGCTCCTCGCTCCAGAGCTAGCTGAAGATTTCCTACGCCGAACTCCGCGGGCAACCCGGATCGCACTGTCCCCTCCCCCTTCTTAAAGCCAGCGCCTCCGCCCCGCCCCAGCGAAGCCCGAAATCCCAGCCTGGGCGCTCAAGCTCTCTATTCAACTGTCTTCCTTGTACCTTAGGGTTTCGTTACCCGGGTCCGGCAGCTGCTGAGAGTTTTTCCTAGTCCAAGCTTGCTGTCCTGTGAGGAGCCAGAAGGGTTAAGCCCGGGGGCGGCAATGAAACGTAGCCTTCCTCCCTAGACACCAAAGCGGGAAGCGGAGGGCAACAACGCGGCACACAATAGCCGCGGTAGCTCGGCGCTTCCCTACGGAAACTGGGGAGCAGTCAGCGCCCTAGGACTCCAGCTGGAAAGCGTGGCGGCCTGGGAGATGTAGTCTTTCAGTCTGCAAGTCTCATGACTCCTCCCTGCGGTCTCCCCACCACCCCACCAGGGCGGTCGCTCTCCCAGATCGGCATTCCCAGTCTCTCCCAGGCTCTCTGGCAGCACCCAGTCCCAAGGGACAGGTGCGTGGCTCGGGAGAGTCCATGGAAAGTTTCTGCATCTGGATCAAGAACCCAGAAGGAATGGATGGTGGGAGATTCTCTCTCACTTCCCGTTTATTTATCTAGATTGTATGTTCCTTTTTCCTCTCTTCCCAGCCTCCCTTTGACCTACCAAATTCTTTTTCTTTCCTATTTCTCCTGATTCAAAGCGTTAATTCCCATGGGCCTTGGATCTAAAGGGTCTGTTAGACTCAGAGCCCCTGACAAAGAAAGGAAGACCATAATTAGGAGTTAAATTATCCCTCAATATCACCTCAGACCATGTTTGTGTGTGTGTGCGTGTGTGCGTGTGTGCGTGTGTGTGTGTGTGTGTGTGTGTGTTATCCAAATCATTGCATAGGCTGATGATTAAAGCATAAGATTTTCCACATGTAAATGGAAAACCTAAGAAAAGGATATTATAAGTTGTCTTGCAGTATAACTAAAAGGTCTCTTGTCCATTGTTGGAGAACTGGGGCTACTGATGAAGGCAGCTGCCTTGAGATTAAGACAGAGGTTCAAACTGAAAAATAATGTGTACTATGGAAAAAAGAGATTCATTTTTATGTTTTGTGGAGTGTTTAAATTGTCCTGTGAAGAAAACCAAGAAAAGCCAGAACTGAAGAGGGTTGTCAATAGAATAATAATGGCTACCCAGCCTGTATTCATGTTCTATTGCTGCTGTGACAAATTACTACAAACTTGGTGGCTTAAAATAACAAAAATTACTATCTTACAGTGCTGGGAGTTGGAAATCAGAAACAGATCATGCTAAGCTAAAATGAAGATGTCAGAAGGGCTGTGTTCCTTTCCGAACACTCTAGGGGAGAATTCATAAGTTGCCCCATCATTCTACCCATAGCCTCCTTCCTCAGACTTCAGAACTAGCAATGCCTGTAATCTCAGCCCCTCCGGAGGCTGAGGCAGGAGGTCAAAGGCAGCCTCAGCAATGTAGAAATACCCTACACACACACATACACACACACACACACAAACACACACACACACATATACATATATATTATATATGTATATATGTTTTCTAAGGGCTGGAGATGTGGCTCAGTGGTTAAGTGCCCCTGGTTTCAATACCTGGTACAAAAAAAAAAAAAAAGAAAGAAAAAGAAAAGGAAAGAAAGAAGCTATCAATAGCTGGTCAAATCTTTCTCATGCTGCATAACTTTGACTCTCCTATCTCCCCCTTTCTCCTTAAAGACCCTATACTTACATCAAATCCACAGGGTAATAAATTATATCTTCTCATGATCCCTAATTTAATCATACAAAGTCCCATTTTGCAATTTAAGATAACACATTCTTAGGTTCCAGGGATTTGGACATGGGTATATTTGCAGAGGTATTCTTCTATTTGCCACACAACCCATAATCTTCAAAACAATCTTATGAGGATATTAGTATGTCCATTTAAAGATGGAGAGTGGGGTCAAAGATATTGACTTGTCCAAAGACACACAGCTAGTTATGTGATAGTGCTTAAAATTGTGCCTAACCCAGATGATTCTAGAGGCACTGTTCTTAACTAGTTCACTATATTGCAAAACGAAGAGTCCACTGAGGGAACATACTCTGAAAAATAAGACATAGCCACATTCCAGGAAAATATTTTGTTTCCTAACTTTTTTTTTCCCAGTGCTGAGGATCAAACCCAGGAACTAGCATGTGTTAGGCAAGTGCTCTACCACTGACCAGCTCTGTTTTTATCTTCAAGTTTAACTTATTGAAAAATGTCCAAAATGGGCTTTAAGTGCACCACAGGTGGAAAATGTGGAAATAAAAAGAAGGTGCCCAATGAATAGAGCTTTCACTCTAGCAAGTTTCCTTTGCTCATTCTTTCACTCATTTCATAACCATTTTTTCTGGTATTAGAGAATAAACCCAGGGCTTTACACACACTAGGTAAGTGCTCTACCATGCCTTTTTATTTGAGATAGGATTTGACCAACTTGCTGAGGCTTGCCTTGAACTTGTAGTCCTTCTGCCTCAGCCTCTCAAGTAACTGAGATTGCAAATATGTGCTGCTGTGCCTAGCTCTTATAAGCATTTCTTTTTTTTTTTTTAACTTGCTACATGTTTTGACTTATAGAGCGCATCACTATGAAAGTCACCATTAACATTAATGAAGTCAGGTAAATTTATGCTCATTTAACTTCTATACTTAAATGGTTTTACAGTCATGTTTGTTATCCTTCATCTAGGCAATGAAACAAAAACAGAGAAAAAGGCCCTGGACTTCATATCAAAAAAGAAAGAGAATTAAAACTAGAATTCAGCTCAATTAGCTGTCTTAATTGAGCATTTTGCTAGGTACTTTGTATTCTTTATCCCTAACCTTTACAATAGCCCTGTATGACTGGGTTTGTTTTGTTTTGTTTGTTTGTTTGTTTGTTGTTTGCTTTGCAGTGGTACAGATTGAAACAAGGCCTGTGTATGCTAGGTAAGCACTCTACCACTGAGCTACATCCCCAGCCCTGTGGCCTTTAGATTTTTATTCACATAAACCTCAAAAGAATTTTGAGAAGCTATGTACTTCCTTACACATATTCAGGTTGACATCCAAATTTTTTTCATCATGGCTAAATGGATACAAAAGGATTCATTTCTGGAATTGTAAATATTGCTATTCTAAAATGAAATCATTTCATCACTCTTTTAAAAATATTTAATTTGGTCAGGCATGGTGGTACACATCTGTAATCCCAGTGGCTTGGGAGGCTTAGGTAGGAGAATTGCAAATTCAAAGCTAGTCTCGGCAACTTAACAAGTCCCTAAGCAACTTGGTGAGACCCTGTCCCTAAATAAAATATAAAAAGGGCTGGGGATGTGACTCAGTAGTTAAGTACCCCTGGGTTCAATCCCCAGAATCCCCCAAATACACACACACACACACACACACACACACACACACATACATTTAGTTTTGTGCCTACCATCAAACACTTGAAGTAAAACAAGGTGTAAACACATCTTTAACTCTAAAAACATTTCCATTGTTCATTTTTTTATCATTAAAATCAAATGTCCATCATATTCTCCCCATAGAATTTATCCTATCATCTATATTCATACTTGAAAGTCTGATATTGATTACCATATTGACTTTCTCTGCAACAAAAGTATGTCCATAAATAGAAATTATTTTTATTTCCTTCTGACCATAAGTCTCCAAGTATAAAAAGGTCTTCTAGATTAAGTTATAATTGCAATTATGCATTCAATATAGATAAATAATAACATGAAAATATTATGTATTACAACTATTATTAAACATAAACTTTTATTGGAAATAGACCTCCTAGTGAGATGCATAGAGAAGGAGTAGGTTATAGCACCCTGAGTTAAAGAAGATTCCTAGACATCAGTATTGAAATTGTCACTTTGTTTGGCCCCACAGGTTTTGACACTGTGGGCCAAAGTGTTATAGTAATATTCCTGACTTCTGAGAGCTATGCTTTTTCTTAAATTGTGAAGGAAAACCTGGAAGTGATTTCTTAGCAAATTATTTTTAGGAAATACTACTAAAAAAGTTGGGGATTTGGAAATTGGATCCCTTTAAGCAATGATGACCTCATAACTCTTGTAGAGTCTTCATGTACCTTAATATGGAGTGAATATTTGCATCCCCAAACTCTAAATTCATACTGTTAGCCACTAGGTACTTCCAGAGTCAATAACTTATGCTTGCACTAAAAACTTCCTGCACCTTTAAATTACTATAAGCCTTTCTCTAAAGTTGCTTTTTGTTCCAGAGAAACTTACAAGTAGTCCACCAAAATTGCTAGTCATCCCACTCTACCACTTTTAGATGATCTAGAGAAAATTTGATTATTATAATACTGAATTATCTGCCCAAATGCATACCCATCTACAATTTTTTTTTGAGACATGATCTTGCTATTTTACCCAGACTGTTCTTCAATTCCCACATCCAAGGGATCCTCCCAACTCATCCTCCTGAGCACTGGAACTACAGGTACACACCATCATGCCCAGCTAAATATTCCATTTTTTTTTTTTTTTAGAGGAGAGAGAGAGAGAGAATTTTTAATATTTATTTTTTAGTTCTCGGCGGACACAACATCTTTTTGTTGGTATGTGGTGCTGAGGATCGAACCCGGGTCGCACGCATACAAGGCGAGCGTGCTACCGCTCGAGCCACATCCCCAGCCCCAAAATATTCCATTTTTTGAACGCTGACATCTCATTAAACGTGTTCAAGAATATGCCTGCCTCTACATGCGATGGTGAATCTTTCCTGTATGAATATTATGAGTTCCCCAACAAAAATTCCTTGCCTTCTTTGCTCCAGGAGACACTTGTTTGGGAATTTTTCCCAATATATTCCTCACTTGCTGCAATAATAAACCTCTCTTCATTCTTTAATCTCCTGGTTGTGCCTAATAGGCTTGCATTCACCAAGAGGTAAAACTATTGCATTCAATTACAGTGTGCTGAAAACCTAACCCCCAAGGTGATGGTATAGCCAAGATTAGGTCATGAGAGCAGAATCTACATGAATTGGATTAGTGTG